TTACCTCCCTGGGTTTGAGGGAGGTCTGTGGAGCCCTGCCCAGCTCCTGAAACAGGGCCCCACTGACCCATGTGTCACAGCGAGAATGAGGCCCTATGGCGAGAAGTGGCCAGCCTGCGGCAAAAGCATGCCCAGCAGCAGAAAGTCGTCAACAAGGTAAGGCAGAGCTGGTAGCAGGTGGGTCCCTCCACAACTGGGCCAGAGTGACAGTGTCCTCTCTGCCCCACAGCTCATTCAGTTCCTGATCTCGCTGGTGCAATCAAACCGGATCCTGGGGGTGAAGAGAAAGATGTGAGGCACTGGGGATGTCTGCGCCCTCCTCCCAGGCCTGGGTATCCTTGCCTCTTCCGTTGCATCTGGCAGGCAGCTAACCCTACTCTTCTCCTGCAGCCCCCTGATGTTGAGTGACAGCAGTTCAGCACACTCTGTGCCCAAGTATGCCCGACAGTACTCCCTGGAACGTGTCCATGGCCCAGGCTCGTACCCGGTAAGCATCCAACCAGAGGGCACAGCCACAAGGTGTGCAGGACACTGTGGGACTATGCTGCCACAGGCCACAGACACATCTACATGTGGCCACTGCCTCTGATTGCAGGCTTCATCCCCGGCCTACAGTGGTTCCAGCCTCTATGCGCCAGACTCCGTCACCAGCTCGGGACCCATAATCTCCGATATCACGGAGCTGGCTCCCACCAGCCCTTTGGCCTCCTCAGGCAGGAGCATAGACGAGAGGTGGGCCGTGTCACTAGCCCTCTTGTCCTGTGGGCCCAGGGCAGAGTTGGGAGTGGTGGAGCCAGGAGCCAGCTGGGGCTCTTCCTGACATCCCCACTGTGTCCAGGCCCCTATCCAGCAGCCCTTTGGTGCATGTCAAGGAGGAACCCCCCAGCCCACCTCGCAGCCCCCGGGTGGAGGAGGCCAGTCCCGGGCACCCGTCCTCTGTAGACACTCCCTTGTCCCCGACCGCCCTCATCGACTCCATCCTGCGGGAGACCGAGCCTGCCCCTGCCACCTCAGCCACAGCTGTAGTCACCACTGACGCTAGAGGCCACGCCCCCTCACCCATACCCCCTTCTGCCTCTGAGAAGTGCCTCAGCGTAGCCTGCCTGGACAAGTGAGTACTGCTCCTGTGCATGTAGCTTGGGCCTTTGCTGGGACTGTCCTGGAGGGCTAGCACAGGGTGGCGAGTAAGGCAGGACCTGCAGGGTCCATGGGCACAGTTTGCTGAGGGTGAGTGGGACAGACCCAAGTCCTGCACTCACATAAAAACCTCAGGGTTTGAGGCTGAGGGGAGATGAGTACCACCCAGATTACCACAGTCCCCCTTCCACAGAAGCCAAGGGTACATGGCAGGGCCCCATTTTCCTAGGACCCCCAGCCTTCTGGGCCACCTTGCTGCTGCCATTAGTCCTCTTGCAACAAAGCACAGGGTCCTAGTGTCTGTGATGCTGTACAAACTGGGGCAGGATATGGGGAGTGAAGGCTCATCTTGAGCACCCCTCAGGCCCTGCCCCAGAGGCTGAGTAAGCTAGGGTAGTGGGCACAGTCCCCTCCCCCAGCCTCTGCCTGCAATGGGGCGGGGGCTCTTGTCTTTGTATCTTGCAGTTTGGCTCGCACTCCACAGATGTCTGGGGTCGCCCGCCTCTTCCCCTGCCCCTCTTCCTTTCTGCATGGCCGAGTCCAGCCAGGGTTAGCGCTGCCCCCAATGGGGAGGGAGGAGGGCTCTGCCAGAGCTCGGGCCCCTCCTGTAGCCACGGACCAGATCCCGACCTGGGTATAGCGTGCTCACCATGCTTGGTGGAGGGTGCCCAGGGGACAGCCTCTCAGGCTCTGCATCTTCACCAACTTCCCTTGGCATAGGCCAGGCTGTGACTGAACAATCTTCCATCTGACCTGGCCATCAATGCAGGCAGGATGTAGGGTGGCTTGCTGAGCTTCCCCCTTGGGGTGGGTTGGGCCCTGAGGCACTTCCACAGCAAGCATAGCTGCCGACCTCACGGCCCAGCTGTGCCCAGTGGCCTAGGGCATTCTAAGTCACAGCAGAGCCAGGGGAAGGGGCAGACCCAGCCCCACTGAGCACAGCCCTCCCTCCCTCCTTGCTGTCTTCCAAGTTCAATGGAAAAACCTCTTTGGGCCTGAAAAGCTCCGTCCCCCTCCCATTTCTAGAACTGACCCCCCCACCCCCGCCAGCTGTTCTGACCAGCGCCACATGCGCACGACACACACACACACACACACACACACACACACACACACACACACGGAGTCCCCCATCCCTGAGTCCCATGCTGGCTGTATAGAGAGGCCCACCTGGGGGTGCTGCCAAGGGGAGCCCTTCCCCCAAAGGAGCATGTCTGGGTTGAGGGGCCTAGGCCGCTGGTTTACCTGCCCTCACCTTGGGCCAGGAATGAGCTCAGTGACCACTTGGATGCCATGGACTCCAACCTGGACAACCTGCAGACCATGCTGACCAGCCATGGCTTCAGCGTGGACACTAGTGCCCTGCTGGACGTGAGTCTGCCCCACTCTGCCTGCCCTGCCCTACCTGGCCACTGGCCAGCCCTGACTTCCCTCCCTCCCTCCCTCCCTCCCACAGCTGTTCAGCCCCTCCGTGACCATGCCTGACATGAACCTGCCTGACCTTGACAGCAGCCTGGCCAGCGTGCGTAGGCGGGCAGGGTGGGGGGCAGAGGGGCCTCACATCAGCCTTCATGGTACCCCTTCCAACCCATAGATTCAAGAGCTCCTGTCTCCCCAGGAACCCCCTAGACCTCTTGAGGCAGAGAACAGCAGCCCCGACTCAGGTGAGCAAGCCCTGTGCCAACTCCCCACCCTTTCTCCTCCCTCCTTCCCACCCCACACCTGACCCCTGCCCCACAGGGAAGCAGCTGGTGCACTACACGGCGCAGCCCCTGTTCTTGCTGGACCCAGATGCTGTGGACACAGGGAACAGCGAGCTGCCTGTCCTCTTTGAGCTTGGGGAGGGCTCCTACTTCTCCGAGGGGGATGACTACACGGATGACCCTACAATCTCCCTGCTGACAGGCTCTGAAGCCCCCAAAGCCAAGGACCCCACTGTCTCCTAGAGACCCCAGAAAGAGGCAGGCTGGCTTGTGGCCTGCCCCCCATCCCAGGACAGGCACATAGTCCTGGGGTGCCCTGGATCAGCTTCTAGAGCCCCAATAGGGGCACGGCAAAGGGACTTGGGGCTGGGCAGTGCCTCCGGTCTGGTGAGGGTCCAGAGGCCTGCACACTCACTGCCCTTCCCCAGCCTGGGAGTCCTGGTTTGGTTGGGGCTTCACAGCCACTCTTTGGACTGACCCTGCAGGTTGTTTATAGAATTGTATTTTGGATTTTTTACATGAGGGTCCCCCTTCCCTTTCACAGAGAAATATATAAACACAGACGGACAGAAAAGAGTGATAGTAATCTATAAATGGACAAGCTCTGTGCTGTGGCCTCCTCTGTGTCTCTTCCTGCCCAGCGGTGATGAGAGGTTCAGGTGCAAAGGAGTGGCCCAACGTAGCGAGGTCACTGCAGGCCTGGGTTTTGGTGGCCTCGGAAAAGGCAGATGCCCTAGAGCCAGTTTTTGCTCACAGCTCTGAGGCACCAGGGAAGGGCAGCATGGCTGGGTTGTCAGTGGGCTCCCTTTCCTGAGGTGTGTCTATTGAAGAATGGGGACTTAAGTGGACATACCTGCAGAAGGGTTAAGAGTGAGAGCCCCCTTCTGTACTTGTGAAACGCTGGGCTGGCTTTGGGGCACAGGCAGCCTGCTCTTGCTACCAGGGAAGCACTGTCTACACTCTAGGGTTTGCAGGCCTCCTTGAGGGGCACCAGCTAAGACAAGGCAGCCCCTAGTTAACCTGCTCCCCCCCTTCACCACCATGGCCAGAGAGTTGATATAAACCAGTTTAATGGGCTGAGGCAGCACAGCCCTGAGGTTCACAGGCTTCCCCCATCTTCCTGGGCCACTGCTGTAGGTCAGAGAGCTATGGGCTAGTATAGCCTCATGGTTTTTACCACAAGCCCACCAAGACAAGGCAGGGACACAGGGCCTATGCTGCCCCCCACCTCTTTCTGCCCCTAAGGTAGCCTCTACCCAGCTTCACACACACAAACACACACACACACGCTATTTCAGGAGAACCAAAAGTGGGGAAGTGGAACACAGACAAACCTGACCCTTCTGTAGGGTACCCTAGAGCCACTGGTCCACCTTGGCTTCTTGGGTAGCCCCATCCCAGGAAGCCAAATTAAGAGCCTAGGTCCAGACAGTCCATGCACAGCTGGGGAGGCCTTATCTCCAGAGGTATGAACCAGGTTCCCCTACAGCAGTGATGGCAAACCTTTTAGACCTTTCATTAATAACAGCCCTCTTCAGCACAAGTGTCATAGGCTATCACTGCCCTAGACGCAGTGAGAAGACAGGCCAACATGGACCCTGCTGAGCGGCCACCCCAGGTGAGTGACTCATGAACATACCATATGAGCTCTAAGCCTCTTCCCAGCCTGTCAAACGTGTAAGAAAGGCCCTGAAAACGTCTCTGGCCTGCCCATCTGAAGCCCACTCCCAGGAAGCCTGAGCATCCTTTCCCAGGCTCAGACTGAGTATCAGGGTGTATCTTGATTGGGCAGGCAGTCCCATCCTCCACTTAAGTCCACAGAGCCCTAGCTCTACACCTGGTAAGCAAGGGAAGGGCAGAACAGGAAGTATGACCTCAGCTGGACCTTCTCCCAACCCTGCCTTGCTGCCTGCCTTCAACTAGGCTGTTCCCTCCCCCTCAATGCCTGTGCCCTACTCTGTTGCAGCTGAGCAGGCTTGCCCATAAACCCCAATCACTGACACCCAAGGTGGCTGCTGACTGGAATGAAAGGGGCAGTAGAACCTAAGCACAGTGTCACCGCCTTAGCTGGAAGCCTGAGGACCACTGGACATCACCGGCCCCACTGGGTGTGGGCTGTCCTTCCCACCAATCCCCACGGCCCCAGCAGCCTGAAACAAGTCACTCTAGACAGTACTTTATTGACACCCTTGATCCCTGGTCAGCATACTCGTGACATTCTCCGCCAGCTGGATACCGCTGTCGACATTTGTCATGAGAACAGGAGAGAGCCCCATAGGGACAAAGAGGCCTTCCAGGGCAAGAGAAGGGCGTAAGCAGTCAGGCCACCTAAAGGACTCCAAGCCCAGGCAGAATACAACTGGCGCTGGCTGTGGACAGTGAAGAGAAGCCGGACTCTCAGGAGCAACTCAGGCCTCTGTTGTTGAGGGCTCATAGTTGAGCACATAGTAGTCATGGACATACATGAGCACAGCCATTGGCTGCCCAATGATGAGTGTCACCCACCCAGCTGCATTGCCATAGTTGCCGTGCAAGAAGCGGCCCACAGTCCAAGCCAGTGGAACCTGGGGACAAATGGGGAAAGGTCTGTCAGCCACAGTAACTGCAGGAGATGGGGCTTGGCACAGGGAGGTAGAGGCAGCTGGCACGGCAGTTTACTTACCTGAACCATCATGGCTGTGAAGGCCCAGAGGCGGAACATTCGCAGAGGGATGCTCACCATGTACTGCAGAGAAAGGATAAATGGCATCAGTGTCTCAGCCACTGGCCACCCTCCTGTCCCAAGATAAGGAAGGACACAACAGAGCACTGACCTCATGGAAAAAGGCTGAGATTAGGAACACTCCTGTCGTGGCCAGCCATCTATTGATGCCTCGTCGAACCAGAGGCTTATAGAAGTGCCTACAGAGGAAGTAGCTATGGGACATGGTCCTGGGAGGAGCCCCGTGCCATATCTATACCCTACATACGCACACAACCACCCACCTGAGGCACCACTTGTGCACTGGGATATTCCAGTTCTTCCAGAAGTGGGTGACAGACTCAGAGTTCCTGGGGGGTCAAAAGACAACAGGATAAGCAGAGCACTCTGACCCGTCAAGCCCCCAGGGCCATTCCCAGGGCCACCCACCACCAGTCTCGGTAGAACTCCCGATCTCCAAACCGCATCAGCTCTGCCACAACATTCAAGCCGGAGTGAAAAAACCAGTAGAAGAAGATCAGCCAGATGAGATGGTTGGGGACCTGTAGAGGGAGGGGGTTCCAGGTTGCAGAACACTTCCACCATCACACTCCACCCACCTCCCAGCCAGTGACACTCACCGCCAACTTTAGGAGACGCTCGATAATGCGTGAGTAGTCCATATCCTACAGAGATACACTGCTTCATCCAGTGTGCCCCCTCCCCACCTACCCCAGCTGTAGAACAGTGTGAGATGCTCACCCTGAAGGGCTTCATGGAGTTCTCGATGGTGGGGACCATCCACTGCAAAAAAGGGCACCATGTCAATTTCAGCCATGCTGAGCCCTACCATCCACCCCCTCTCCCACTCACCTGCTGGATCAGGGCCACCTGGAGCTGGGTCAAGAAGAGCTGAGGAAAGACCCATAGAACAGCCACTGAGATCCCAGCCACTACCAGGCAGTGGCCCTGGTGGCTCCTCCAGAACCAAAACTTACCAACTCAAAGAGCCGCCGCAGCAGAAAGCGTTTTCGGATTCGGGGTGAACGGGGAAAGTTGAGTTCATAACACAAAGTAGGGGCAAAAATGAAGTAGTAGAGATCTGGAAGCGAAAGGAAGGGCTGGAACCAGCAGAGATCTGACCCCCACCAACACAGGGCCCAGACCCCCATCACCACAAGTGCTCACCACAGTAGGTCAGGTTGTCTGGGTAGCTCACAGTGCCTTGGGAACTGTCCCCACTGTCTTTCTTTCCTGCAGAGGCTGAAAGCAAATCAGGGCAGAGGGTGGAGTAGAGTGTGCCACGCAGGCACTCCCTTAAGGCAGGCCCAGCCCCCAAAGCCCTCACCAGTCTTGGCCTTAGCCGTGTCCTGTCGGCACCAAAGGTTGACGTCCCGGTAGGAGAAGAGCTTGAGGAAGAGGATGCAGTACACTAACAGGGCCACCAGGGAACCCACTGCAGAAGAGGCATGCTCAGCCATAACCCATCATATACCCCGGGGAACCAAGCCATGAGGCTGAACCAGGGCTGGCCCAGGGGGGAATGGAGGCACACCTGGAGTGATGGACTTGTCCAGCAAGGCCACAGCTGCTGGGAAGCTTAGAATGGTAACAAGGTTGGCCACATGCAGCAGCAGCCCCACTTGCTCTGTCAGGGTGCCCTGTTACGGGGGGAGCACATTCAATCAAGGCCTCATTCTGGGGCAGGCCCCCAAGGACTGTGGTAGGGACAGGACAGACACTGCTTACCACTGCCAAGCACTTCTCAACCTGGAATGCAGCCACAATAAAGACATTGGCCACTGAGAATAGAAGCGTCATAGGGTAGGTTCAGGGCCCCAGTCAGCCTTGTGCCCACCCATGGCCCTCCTTAGAGCCCAGCTCACCAATAACCAAACATGGGGCAGGCCAGCTGTATGGATCCTTCAGGAACATAGACACCACCTGGATAGGGTCCACCAGGATACCATACCTAGGGGTGGGGCAATAGGGCCTGAGTAGTTGTGGGCCCTGGCCTCAGGGCAGGGCCTGAGCAGACAGTGGGCAGAGCCTGCAGAAAGTACTCACTTGATAAGGTTCTCCAAAAATAATCGAGCATTGCTCAGGATCTGCAAGAGACCATCAAGAAGGCTCAGCTCTCAGTGTAGTGACCACAGGGAATCCCACCAGCACCTCCCAGCTCCCTTTAACACCTATGGAGCAAGAGGTCAGGGTGGCAGCCTCTACCTTACAGACCCAATCTCTCTGGTCTCCACACTAAACACTGAGATTCACCACACACTAGTCAGTACAGGGCAGAGAGGTATGTCACTCCCATACAGAGGGGCCAATCCTACTGCCAGGCATCTCCAGCAACAGGCAGATCTGTAGTTCAGTAGCCCTCATCCCTCCCCCCAAGCTGAACCACTGAGAAACCCAAAGCCAAATCTTTAAGCCTGCCACCTGGGTGTCATCCCCAAAGTCATGCCTGCCAGGGGAAGCTGGCCTAAGGCTGAACCCCAAGGACTAGTTCCTACTGGGGTTAGGGGACACTTGCGCTACTCCACAAGCCAGTCAGGTCCCTGCAGTGCCTAACTTGGGAGCAAGAGACTTCAGCAGGGGATGGCAGGCCCTACAAGCAGAGGAAAGATGCCATCATAGCTGAGACAGACAGGAGGAGGTACTTTTTCCCTGCCCAGCCTCAGCTGTTATATAATACTCCAAGGTCTGAGGGTTTGGCCCAATATAGTCTTTAAGGACTGGTATACCCCCCACGCACATCAAAACAGGCTCAGGCCTGGGGATTTAGCTCAGCAGCACAGTGCCTGCCTGGCAAGCGCAAGGTCATGAGTTCGATTCCTGGTACCGGAAGAAAAACAAAAAAAACAGGCTCCTGGCTCTGGCCTGGGACTGGATGGTTAGCCTACTCATCCATCTCACCTGAAAAGCACCTGAAAGCCAGGCAATGATGCCACCACACCGTCCAACTGCCCAGAGCTCAGATCTGAAACAGTGGAGGTGATGGGTGCTGTGGAAAAGCAACACCACCAAGGGAACACTGCAAGGGAGGTTTTCAGAGGAGATGGCAAGCTCAGAGACACTGGAGCCACTGTCCTACCTATCCCACCTCCAAGACTGTCCTGCTAGCCTGCTGTCTCAATACTCACAGTCCCATATTGTCACCCACAATACGGACTCTCCTGAGCATCCACAATACACATACCATATAGAGGGGGCTGACAGAAGCCAGAACAGAAGGCTGTGACCTGTGCCCAAGGGCCAGAAGGCCCAAAGGGTTGCAAGAGAATACACAGTGCTGCCTGGGCTGGATGAGGGCTTCCCCTGGCCAGTAATCTCTTTATAGACCCCAGCCTGGGTCAGGAATGGGACATATCATCTGAGGGTTAGGCTGGCCTTATGCCCATGATCTCACCCTCCAGGCCTCATGATCCCCCACAGGATATGGCAGGAGGTGGTATGCAGAGCCCTTCCACATGGACAGCTACAGAAGCTGTGCTCAAAGCAGAGGCAGACACATGGGTAAGGGTCAAAGGCCTTGGGCCGTATCCACCCTGAGTGACAGACGCTGAGCACAAACAGCACCTTGCTCCTGACCCACCCTTCAAGCTTTGAGCCTTGGACTCCAGTGGCCTCTGGGGTGGGGCTACTGGCCATGCCCCCACAAAGTGCCAGTGGAAACTAGGCCCCAGAGACTGCAGACGTTGGACATACGGCAGGGCTCCATCCACTAGGACCCAAAGCTGAGGATAAGGGGTCAGGGAGCTTGTAGAGCAGTAGGGGCTATAGAGTACTGGGGGGTTCCCATAGTCACAAAGCCACATTCCCAGGGAGGCCTTAACCCACAGAACACCCCCTTCTCTCTGCCCACTCATACAGTCAGGGGGACCTTGCACCCCAGAGACACAGATCATAGCCAAAGTCCTTGAGTCTAGGTATACTGCTAAGCCTCCCCAGTATCCCCATGACCTCCTGGGGTTCAAGACCCCTGTGTGACCACTGCAGGGACCACCTCTGCTTTCCTCACCAGCCCAGGGCTGGCAACCACATGGGCTGTGGACTTCTCGGGGCAGCTTCAATGTGCTCTTATACCCCTGGCACAGAGTCTATGCCCAGGATAATGCCAGCCTGGACAGCTCTGCCACACCTGCCTGCAGGTAGGCCTGCTCTGGTACCCCAGTCTACTTACCAGCATCACCACACACCAATTCAGGATGCCACGGTAGTTGCTGAAGCCACTGTTAGAGCTGAACAAAGAATCTTGCAGGCGATGGCACCTGGCAGAGCAGGGGACAGGCTCTTCGGTAAGCAGATGCCAACAGGGGAGGGCTGGGTCCACCACTATGACCTATCTGTTCTGCTCACACATTCCCACTCCACATTTACGGATAGAAGGAGAAGCCAGGCTAGACCATGGCAGCAGCCACATGGTCTGCAGTGAGCAAAGTTCTCAGGACCACCCAGAGGCCTTCTCCTTCATGCAGTGAGAGGGGGCACATCACAGCAGGCAGGAGCTGGCTGGGCCTACGTGGCTTGAGCTCCCCATGCCAGGAGCTTGCCCTTGCTCCCCAGAGGCCCTGACTACAACCAGACTCTCAAACCACCAGAGAATCCAACCCAGGGATATAAGGGGTATCCAGTGCTGCAGTGCTGGGACAAAAGGGTAGGGGTGGAGTCCACCCAGATCAGTAGGCCTGTCAGCCACCTAAGGAGACCAGGAGTCCCCACTACAGCCCAGAAGAGCCTCTTCCCTACACTTGGCCACATAGGCCTGAGGGAGCACAGGAACTCAGTAAAACTGCTGACCAAACACCCTGCCTAACGTGACCTTTCTGAGGGCAAGGACTCGGTCCTCATGTTCATAAGCACTGTGGTCATGCCTGGGCTGGAAGTGCTGAGAGTCCACCTGAGGGCCAGACACCTGATGGTAAAAGCCTGCAGCAGAAGCAGGTCCCATTTGTGAAAGCACCCACCCAGCAGTGGAGTGGAGGACACACAAATAGACCCTGACTGTGAAGAGAGGTACTGAGCCTGGCAGAGAGGTCACTATGTAGCTGGGCCTCGGCCCTACCCAAGCCAAAGACAACAGAAGCAAGGTCAGAGCCCATGTGCTATGAAGCAGCACTCGTGCTCACTCACCAGCTGCAACCCTGCCTTGCCCTCCAGCAGCAATGCCACCAGGAAGCCCCATACAGTATTGAGCAAGGCCTTTGTTTTGTAAGAGGAGAGGCCACTACCTCCCTTTTCCTTTTACCAACCCATATCTACCTCAGAACATCTGGGCAGTGGGAGCAGGATGAGGGTCCACAGCGGAGGCACCATGGCACAGATGTCCTCTTAGAATTGGTCTTGCCTTGGTGCCCAGAAAAAAGTATGGCTTTGGTCAGAGTCAGCAGTTGAACACTGTCACCCAGGTAAAGAAGGGCCAAGGAGGCTGAGGGGCATTGTTAACAAGCCCAACCTCTGACCCTCAGACCAATGTCTGCTTGGCACCTGGCTTCATCCACATCATCTCCCAGTAGCCCCTAGCTAGTAGGAGGGTGGTCACTACCCCTCTTTCTGCCTATCTCAGACTGGAGCACCATGGTAGACAGCTCTGCACCAACCCTAGTCCCCACCATTGTTCAGCCCCTTCTCCCAGACTCAGGGCTGGGCTTTCTGGATCTACCCAAGTCTATCTTGACTCATACAGTGAGGCTGTGGTCTTACCTGAACCCCTCTTCTCCCTAGTTCTGTCCCTACCTTTATAAACAACAAATTGGGCACCACCCCCGACTAGCTACACTCACTGCCTGTCCTCCCCAGTGCCCTAGCCCCATGACGCAAGGAGATGGCCTCTCTGGACCTGTCTGCTACACTAGGCCTCCCCACTCCCTCTGTCCCCCAGGCTGAATCCCATTCACTCTAACCAGAACTATCCCAGACCCTCTGGCTGGCTTCATTGAGCCACCACCATCAACTGCTATCTTCATACCATGACTATTTCACAACAGTGTGACCTCTATGCCCATCTCCAAAATGAACATAGGAATACGAAAAGAGTCTTTCTTGCCAAAGACAACATTCTAAGTTTCTTTTCTTCTTCTCCTTTTTTTTTTTTTTTTTAATGTGGGTACCAGGAATCAAACTCAGGACCTTGCACTGGCCAGGCAGGTGCTGTACCACTGAGCTAAAACCCCGGACCCCAAAGGCAACATTCTGAGAGCTTTTTCAACTCCTCCCTGTGGGACTCCAAGGCCTTCTTTGACCACACACAACCATGCCCCAGGTCCTCCCATGTCCTATGAACCAGGTCTACCCTCAGGCAGCAGCCATACTGCATACAGACTCAGCCTATGCTGCCCTCTCCCCTTGCAAGTCAGAGGCCCCTGGCCTAGGGGATGAACCCCCACCCCATATACCAGAGCCCACAAAGATATAGGCTTGCCAGTGTGGTCAGCAGCAAGTAGGCTGGAGGGCAGGCCACACAGATGGCAGGAAGGGAGGCCAAGAACTGGCCAGCCATGCCAAGAGCTGACTTTGTCACACTCTCACCCACTGGACAGCCTGCCAGTGCCCTATGCCTTCCAGCTGTCCCACACCCACTCCCCTGAGCCAAAAAGACAAGGAATAGCCTTTCTCTCCTGAAGCTCCAGGCCTAACCAAGTGGACTCAAGGCAGAGTGCCCTCTCCTTCCTGTCTCCCACTCACTCTCACCTGTAAAGTAGGTACACACTCATCCCCACAATGCACCTGCCAAGGTCTGTATCATACCCAGTGCCTCAGCCTCTAATGACTTTCCAATGACCACATGGTCCAGCTCCAGGGCCAAGCAGAATGAGGAGGGGGACAAAGTGCCAATTCTCCTTCCAGCTGCCAGCTCTTTAACACTTCCTTTATGCCACCCTGTGGCCAACCCCTGGGGTGCAAGAGATAAGGAGGACACTGTGAGACAAACACCCTAGGACAGTGGTGACAAACCTACGGCATGTGTGCCAAAGTAGGCTATTTATCATCATTGAAGCCCTAGGGCTGGGGAGATAGCTCAGTAGCACAGTGCCTGCCTGGCAAGTGGAAGGTTCTGAGTTTGATTCCTGACACCAAAAAAAAAAAAAAAAAAGAAAGAAAGAAAGCTCTGAAAGTTTCACCAAGAACCCAAAACCAGAAAGCTCAGCCTAGGTGGTCATAAACTAAGGGCCAGCTAGAGTATACAAAGCCTGGAAATGTGAACAGCAGGCAAAACAGGAATGCCTCCTCTTCCTGCCCACAGCCTCACCTTTCCACAGAGCAGAAGAAATGAGCTCACACCCAGAGTCCAGTTCATCTGCTTAGCCCAAGGTGAGCAAGAAGTATTGGAAGGAGGAGAGAGCTCAGTGAATCAGGAGGAAAGCAGAGAGTGGGCCAAATGCAGGAACTGGTAAGAGAAGGGTGAGCTTTGGCCCAGTCTCAGGAGGGCAGCCAGACTAACGCCTGGCCTACCAGCAGAATGAATGGAGTCTGGTCAGGCAGTGCGGCACATGCCTGTAATCCTAGCTCTCAGAAGGCTGAGGCAGGAGAATCCCTGTGAGTTTGAGATCAGCTGGGGCTACACAGTTCAAAACCAGCCTGAATTACATAGCAAAATGCTGATCTCTCATACCCTGGGTAACTAATTTAAAGATAACAATATGCAATGTATTAACCATTGTTACTCTCTTGTCATATTGTTTTGGAATTTTGTTGTTTTTTTGTTTCTTTTTCTTTTATATACATATATAGATATACATATATAGATAGATAGATATCTATATCTATATCTATATCTATATCTATATCTATATATATATATATTTTTTTTTGTGGTACCAGGGATCAAACTCATGACCTTGCGCTTGCCAGGCAGGTGCTTATGCCACTGAGCTATATCACAGCCCAAAATAATTTTTTTTTTTAAGTAAAAAACAAAAACAAAAATGTCAAAAGCTGGACATGAGACACACACCTGTAATCCCAGCACTTGGGAGGCTGAGGCAAGAGGATTACTGCAAGTTCAAACCCAGCTTGGGCTACAAATTGAGTTCAAGGCCAGCCTGAACTGCATGGCCAGACCCTGTCTGAAACACACACACACACACACACACACACACACACAAAAACAGGCCCAAGCATAGTCTCCCATTCCTGTAATCTCAGCACTTGGGAGCCTGAGGCAGGAGGATCTCCGCAAGCTTGAAGCCACCCTGGACTGCATAGCGAGTTAGAGCCCAGCCCGAACTACATAGCAAGACCTTGTCTTAAAAAAAAAAAAAAAACAAGAATGGAGTCTAGGACCCTTACCAACAGGGCTTGAGCCCTGCTTCATTCACAGGGTTGGGGGACAAATACACAGAACCTGTCCACAAGCAGATTATCAACTGGCTCTCTCCTCCATGGATGTGTCCTCTCTGCCATCTACCGCTGCTCTTCTCAAGGACACAAGACCTCTACTAAACTGGCCTTTCCCACTAGCCTCATAGGAGCCCCAGGCCAGCAATCACAGCAAAGGCTTTCTGGCCAGTGAAAGCCACAACTGCTCCCTCTGCCTATCCCTAGGTGGTGGTCTGGTAAGATCTCCCCCTCAGTCTCATACAAAGAACCCCAATTCTCAACCACTCCAGAAATCCTACTAGCCACTCCCCTTATCTCCTGGAGAGAAGGAAACTTGGGGCAATCAGTAGGGGGCCAACTCCAGGACTTTAAACCTTTCAGGCAGGAGGTACAGGAAGTCAGTGCCCCTCTCAGAAGGGTCAGCCTCCTCCTCCACAGTGCCTTCATGACTCCTCACCTGACCTTTGTTCACACTATGCCGCATATGCCTCACACTAAGATTATCTTATCTGCCAGGTGAACCATGAGAACCCCAAAGGAAGTGACAGAGCCTGCAGCACAGCTGTCCTCTCTTACCCCCACCACCCCACACTGAAGAAAGGCTTGTTTGTTGAGAAAGTAAATCCTTGTTAACCAAGCCACCCATTGCCCACTTCCTCCTAGCCTCTCAGCTGCTCCCTAAACCAGAGCCCGAGGATTCATACGAAGGCCAGAAAGAATGGCTTGGGGGCGGCCTCAGGCTCTGCTTCGAGGAGGAGGCCAATGCCCAGGCAACCAAGTTCTCCCCATCAGCCCTGGTGGACGCCCTCACACTGACACGTCAGTCGGGTCAGCAGGGCCCACCTGTAGGTACCTCCACTTCAAACTCCTCTTCTATACTCAACCAGTGGACGAAACTTCCCACGAGACCTGCTTGGCCTCGCCAGTGGGCACTCCTGCTAGTATCAGCAGGGCCCAGGGGCTGGGGATTTAGCTCAGCAGCACAGCGCCTGCCTGGCAAGCGCAAGGTCGTGAGTTCGATTCCCGGTACCGGAAAAACAAAAAACAAAAAACAAACAAACAAACAAAAGAACAAAAAAAAGCAGGGCTTGAGGCCTCCCCATCCCCTGGGTGAGGGATGAACTCTCAGAAAGCCTCCTGCACTGTCTCCTGCCCTGGGCAGACGCCCACTCTCCTGATTTCGGACGGGGCTGAGGCCAGAGGGGCTCTCCCTGGCAGACCAGCCTCTTCTGGGAGCCTTCTCCACCCCCAGGGCAGCCCCCGAGGCCCTCAGAAGGACCCCCTCCGCGCCTCACCCACCTCGCCCAGGCGCCAGTCTTTGAGGACCTGCCGGAGGGGCGTCCACCCGCCAGGCCGCGCCCCTCCCCCGCGCGCTCGCGCCTCGACCCGCGGGGCGACCTTGGCAGCTGACCCTCTGCACCAGAGCTTCGGCGTCCCCTCAGGGCACAATGGTCCCGGGACTGAAGCCCGAACCGCTGCGGCCGCTCCAGAGAGCAGAGCAGGGTCCGGAGTCAGAGGTAAGAGGTTAGGCGCTCCGCTACCTCAGCTGCGGGAGGCCACGGCCCACTCCGGCGTCTCCGTCTCTGTCGGGGGCCGGGGCCGGCACGTCCCCGCTGGCTCCTACGTCGGAGCCTGCGACGGCGTCCAGCACGTCCTCCTCCGCCGCGGGCCTGCCGCCGCCCTGGCCCGAGGGCCGCGACCCAGTCCTCCTGCGCCGGGAGCCGCCCGCACCGCCGCGGTCGCCCATGGCCTTAGCTACGCCGCCCAAGTGGTGCCCAGCCGGGCTCGCCGCGCGTGAGGCCCGCAACCCCGCAGCCCAGCCTCCGGACTCCGGGCAACGGCCGCCACCGCCCCCTATCGGCCGCCGTAGCTGGCCCGAAACCGCTGACTGGCCGGGAGCCGCTGACTAGCCCGCTGAACTTGTGCGCTCTTATTTGTAGTCCTCGACCCGCGGGGGGGCGGAGCTTCGGCCGCGGCGCGGAGCACCCTGGGAGTCGCGGTCACTGAGCTGCGTGGGCGGCTTTGCGTCCCGTGTGGTCCCGGGTCCCGGGTCCCGGATCCCGGGTCCCTGAGGAAAATTCGGAAACTCGTCCTGGGGCGGCCGAGGAGCCCGCGGACCGCGCCGGCGCCCAGCTCCCTGGCAGCTGGGCACTTTCCCCGACCTCTCGCTGGCCCCTTGTCCCACTTCTGTAAACACAGGGTTTCATCATCCCTCGGCTCGGCGAACCATTTGGGGTGTAGGTCAATTATGAATGGCTTCGTACACTACAGACCGGTTGCTCTGTCCTGGGCCTCGTGTCTGAGCACACACCCGGCAGAAACTAGCCCACAAAAAACAGATCAGGATCAAGCTGGAAAAGAGACCACATCTGTGCAATTGCCTAAATGAAGCAACTGATCAGCCCCCTTGGCTGCTGGGGAGCCCCCTTGGCTGGGCATGCATCCTGCACCGGATGCAAAGTGCAGGCCTTATTTCCCCGGAAACACGTTGAGCAGCGGAAAACATAGCACCTCTCAACAAATCATCTTGGGCCTGAGGCTTGCCCCGACCTCACCCTGCTTCTACCACCTTTGCCCGTGAGGATTCCCACCTATGACCTGTTCTTGTTGCACAGGTCATTTTTAGCTAATTCTAGCCCAGGCATCGGGAGAGCAGGTGCTACCTGGCAGGTATCTGTGTGGCCTGCAGAAGGCCACCCTACCAGCCGGAAAGCCCCTCATGGGTGGCTTTGTTGGATCAGGACCATCTCATTTCCTGCCCAGTCTCCAATAACATATCAACCCAGTCTCTGGCAGTGGGATGTAGCTGGGCTTGGGCCAGGCAGGGGTAGGCCTTTGTGAATACTGACCCCAAAAAGGAAGCCAGAAAAGTGTGTCCCCTTCCGAGCCTGACATGTAGGGGTGAGGCATAGGAGCTCTGCCACTCCCTCCTGACTCCCCAGGTGGTATGCTTTGGTAGTACCACACTCCAACACAGAAAGAAAAACTAGAGCACCAGCCCACTCTGGCCCAGTGCTCACAGAAGGTTGGCAGTCCAGCCTGCCTGTAGGCCCAGAGAGGCACAGCTCACCAGCCCATAAGTGAAGAGTTGCAAAAGAGGCGGCTATCACCAGGCATAGTGGCACACACCTGTGATCCCAGCACGCAGGAGGCTGAGGCAGGAGGATCATTGCAATTTCAAGGCCAGCCTGGGCTACAAAGTGAGTTCAAGACCAGCCTGAACTGCATAGTGAGACTCTGTCTCAAAAAGACAAGGGGCTGGGGATTTAGCTCAGCAGCACAGCGCCTGCCTGGCAAAGTCAAGGTTGTGAGTTTGATTCCCAGTACCGGAAAAAAACAAAAACAAAAACAAAAAGATAGCAAAACAAAAGAAGCAGCTATCTTTTTTTTTTTTTTTTTTTTTGAGACAGAGACTTGCTATGCAATTCAGGCTGGCCTTGAGCTCACTTTGTAGCCCAGGCTGGCCTTGAACTCATAACCATCTTCCTGCCTCAGCCTTCCAAGTGCTGGGATTACAGTCATGTGCCACCACGTCTGGCCTTAGGTGGCTATCTTGACTATGCCTAGCTCAAAGCAATCGTTCAGTAAATGATCTTGGTAGGAAGGTGACCAGAAGATGGAGTAGAGCCACCAGGAAGGAGAGTCTAATCACTGGGTGAAGCTGAGGCCAGTGTTTCCTGGTACAAACTCCATCACCCCAAAAATCCAGAGCAAGGTACAGCCAAGGGCAGCAAGGAGAGGTGAAAGGCCAGGGCAGGTAAGGTTGGTTAAGAACAAGTGTGTATGGCAGCTTAGAAAGGATCTAAGGTTGACCCCAAGGCCTTGGGGCCGTGAGCAGGCACTGCTGGTAGGGAGAGTTCACAGCAGTAGTGTTCCGTGGCCTGTAGCACCCATTCTCTGCAATGGATAGTTGTTCTCATGGTTGACTGAGAGGAGGGCCGTGGATATAGCTCAGTGGCATAAGTGCCAGCCTGGCAAGCACAAAGTCCTGAGTTTGGTTCCAAGAAAAAAAAAATGAGAGGAATAGGGAGGTGTGGTCATACCACCTTGGGGAGAATGCTTCCAAAACTTCCAGTTGCATCACCCTCAGAATCCCAGAGAAAGAGAAATGGCCATTCAAGACACTAACAGTTTGGAGTCCTTTGGCAAGGAATGGGCAGCTAGGAGCTTCCTTGCCTGCCATTGCCATGTGTCAGGGTATAGATTAGGTGTGGTATGGGTGGAGGACTGGGGCAAGTCTGTGTCAAAGGCACCTCTGGGTTTCTCATCCTTAGACATGATGTGCTGTTCATCTTATCTCTTTCCTAATACTCAGATTCCTCATCTACAAATAGAGAACATCTACTTGGCCCAGTCACCATGAAGATCTCTCTATAGGAGGCCCTGGCCACTGACCCCTCCCAGTACCAGGTATATCTTTACTCTTGCTGTTGTTATTGCTGGTAGAGCTCTCTGGAAGGGGAACTCATTCCCCATTAGACCCCCACTAACAGGCCCAGAGGCCATGACCCTCACTGGGGAGACACTGGATAGAGTTCAGATATGCCTGGATCCTTGCCAGGGTGTGGGCAGCTATGCTGGCCCTGGCCTAGGGCTGACCTAATTTGACCACACATGTACAGTCTTTGGGCAGGTGCTCAATTCATTCCTGCCTACCTGGGATCACAGCTGAGCAAGGGGTCCTGGCCCCTGTGCTCTTCTTACCCAGCCCTGCCCCCAATGTCTTCAACTCAGCTCCCCTCGCCTTATCTAGACCCTGAGGGTCCAGGGTGGCTTTAGAAGCTTGTCTACGCCAGGCACCTCCTCCCTGGAACTGGCCCAGCACTGCTTTCCACGGAGGCGTTCATTCTCCAGCAATACAGAAGTACACCCCCAGAGTCTGAGGGTCAGGATGAAGGCAGCAGGCCACAGGGAGAGGCTTGACCTCAAAACCTCTGCCATTCTCATTTCTTCCAACAGCATATCAGAAGGCTTGCAAGGGATGAGAGACCTAACACTGTGCATGTAGCTGCTTGCAGGACAATCCTAAGGGGGTGGCAGAAGCTCATATAGGGAGAAGAGGGGAGAATGGAGGCTTCTCAGACTAGAGGACTGAAACCTTTTCTGTACATATCCTGCCCATTCTAGGTCAGCCTGGGTTGAGCCTGACATTGGGCAAAAGCCCTTTAGTGTCCTCAATTCCTGGTACAGCACAGATTCACCTGCCACAGGGGAAGTGCCAACTATTCTGCCTTCAGACAATACATGTGTTGTGGCTCAGCCAGCCCAGCCAGCCCTATCCAGAAGAAAGGTTGAGCCACAGCTTTATCTGTGACTCTCAGCACTGGGCCTGTAGAATCAGGAAGACACCCCAGCAGTCCCCAGCAAGAACACATCAACCAACACTCCAAATTCTATCAAGAGTGGCATTTATTCTCCTTGTGGAGGTGCGGCGCTCCGGGGAGCTGGTGCTATTGTGCTTAGGAAGGAGGTCTGTCGTCCGTCCGTCCGTCTGTCCGGCCGGCCCGGCCCCAAACGGGGGCGGAAGAAGGGCTCGGCCCGAGTAAAAATCCCGGCCTGTTCCGGGCAGGAATATGTACAAGGCGGCGGGGCGCAGGCGGGGGTGGGGGCGGGGCGGGCCGGCGGCCACAGCCCCCACCCGAGGGCCCCGCACCTCGGGCCCTACTTGTAGAATCAGTACAAAATAGGTGCTACCTAAACGTTCCTTCTACCTGAATTCACTAAGTCGGTTATTGTGCTGCTTAGTTATGGGGGCGGGAGGGGGCCCATGGCTTTCCACGGCAGCAGGGTGTGGGGGAAGCAGGAGAGCCTGGTGGGCCAACGACCTTCTGGCCTTCTCCTTAGGGAGACAGAGGTGCAGAGTGGGGCAACGTGAGGCGCCTGTGTGAGCTTGTGCATGCGGCACAGGCAGGCAGGCCCCGGCTGGAAAACGATGCAGGCACCACACCTGGTGGCTGAGGGGGTTTGGGGCAACCAACCCTGGTGCTGGGGAAGAGGCTGGCCACATCATATACTCCAGCTTGCACCCTGTCCACTGGCAGCAGAACCGTGCTTGCCAGGGAATCAACGGGTGGGCGCCTGTACGGGCTGCCCTGGTAAAGCTGGGCCCTGAGGCCCTGGGTCTGAGCCACCTGAGCTGGAGACGCAAGGCCCAAGTTAAAGGCAGAGCCTGAAGGTACCCAACATGGAGCCGAACTGAGGTGGGGAGAAGGGGCCATGGGCCCAGGGATCAGGCGCTCTGCATCTGCGTCTGCCCCTAGCCCACCCAAGCCCATTGGGCCTCTGCAGTGGACATACACTTCCCCAAAGGTCTCTGTGTTTCTGGCGGACTCAGCAAAGGGCCTGGCACGTAATAAATGCCCAATGGACGATCGGTGAGTGATGGACGACTGACGGAGGAGCCTTGGGTGCAACCACCCTGCCCCCGCCCCTGGAACCACGATGCCCGCCCGCTGGGCTCTGCCGTGGGGAGCGGGAAGGGGGGTTAAGAAAGTCTGCGCGGCCGGCCCCGCGCAGCATCCCTGATCTAGGGTCCTATAGGGTGGGGAGGGCGGGGGATACCTGATTCTCAGTAACTCTAGAGGCTGCGGCAGCTTCGCATGCAGTGCGCATTATTGCTCTATAGTCGGCATCGGACTAACTAAGAGGGAAAGGGAGCGGGCAGCCCCGGGAAGGGTTGGGAGGAGGGATGGGGCTGCATGCAGTGACGTCACAAAGGCGGCGGCCAATGGGGCGGGCCCTTGGGCGGGGTCGCCGCCGAGGCTTTGGCATAGACGGGCGAAAGTTGGCAACCTAGTGGGGCGGGGCCTGGGCCTCGGAGGAGGGGGAGGTGGCCGGCCTTAGGGAGGCGGGATCCGAGGCTCCCAGGAGGCAGAGCCCAGCTAGGGGCGCGGCTCCGGGGCGGAGAAGTGATCCTGGACCTCCCAGGCCCCCGGCGTCGGCGGGAAGGAAGGGTTCGGCGCCCCCTCCCTGACCCGAGTGCAATCCGTTCATAAATAAAACGTACAAATACAGAAAGAAAGAAACCCGACGCGTCCGCACCCCCCCCAGGGGGCTTTACCCGCAAAGCGAATACAGAGGTGTATAGAGGGCAGAGCACGCCTCGCTGCCGGCCCGGGTATCCGTCCTCCAACACCGAAAGCCCGGGGTAAGAGGGAGGGGGCCCCGGGGCCGAAGGAAGAGGGATCTGAGTAGGTCGGATAAGTCCATGCGATTCGATATGCGTCGTTATTATTCGTTATGGAGGACAGAACCTGGGAAGCTGGGCTGGAAGAATTCGGATTTGGCAGAGGATGCGAGGAAGGGTAGGAGGGCGGCTCAGACTGAGGCCCCAGAAAGAACTCGAGGGAGAAGGTGCCGCCGTCCGCCCCTTTCCCCCGTACCCAACGCGTCGAACACAGCTGGGAGGTCTGCGAAGCCGATGGGGCAGGACGCCTCTGTAGCCATTCCCTCTGTGGCTCCTCCCCGACCTGCTGCCGAGGAGGTGTTGACCCCCTGAAAGTGTGGGCCTAAGGCCCAGCCTGGAAGGCTTGGGAAGGGGTGGGGAAGACCTGAGTCTCTGCAGCGCGGTCCAGGGGCGCAAAGGAGGGAGGTGGACCTTCCCTACCTCACCCCACCCCCATCTTCAGAGACCCAACTGAGAGATGAGGTTCGGTTCTGGGTCTGGCCGACCCTATTGCTGGGAGAAAGCCTGGGGCACCCTGGAGGAGAGGGAAGGGGGTTCGGGGTGGGTCCCCCTCGGGACCCTATTGCTTGAAGGGGCTGGCAAGGCCCCTGGCGAGCGGAGCAGGGTGAGGCAGGCTCCCTCCCCCTATTGCTGTGAGGAGGGGCCCGCCCTCCGGCCCCTCCGCCCGGATGCCGGCGGAGACTTCCCTGGGGGCCCGTATTGCTGTGAGCCGACCCGGCTGGCCCGCCGCCCTAGGCCTGCACAGGACTGAGCTGCGGCGGCGCGGGGGGTGCGGGGCCGCCTGCGCCGCCCGCGCCGCCCTTGAAGCAGGCCGACTCATAGTGCTTGTTGAGATAGGACTTGAGGGCGAAGCTCTTCTTGCAGCGCTTGCACTGGAAGTGCTTGAAGGCCGAGTGCGTCTGCATGTGCGCGCGCAGGTTGGAGCGGTCGGCGAAGGCCTTGCCGCAGTGTGCGCAGCCGAAGGGCTTCTCGCCGGTGTGCGAGCGCATGTGCCCCTGTAGCAACCAGGGCCTGGAGAAGGCCTTGCCGCACACGCCGCACTTGTGGCGCAGGT